GCCCCGTGTCTCCTTGCCCGAGACTTCTCCGACACTGCGTTGGACGGGAGAGGCCGGCGATGCGTCGCGTTTTCGGGTCTGGGGATCCCGAGCTTTTGTCCGCGACACGTCCGCGGACAAGCTCTCCTGTCGCGCTGTCCCCTGCGTCTTCCTTGGCTTTGTCCCGGACGCCCCTGGTTGGCAGTTCTACCACCCCACCTCGCGGCGTGTCCTGGCCTCTCAGGACGTCACTTTTGACGAGTCCGTCCCCTACTACCGCCTCTTCCCCTACCGCACTGCCCCGCTCCCCCCCCCCGCCTCTCTTCCTCGCTCCAGGTGCAGAGGTACCAGAACCCCTCCCCCCTCAGGGTGCCGCTCCCTCAGGTGTGTCCCAGGTAGACCCGGGTGAGCCTGTCGTAGTGGTAGCTGTTGACTCTCGTCCTGCGTCTGGGGGTGCGGAGCCTTGGGGTGCTGAGTCTGGGGGTGCTGAGCCTGGGGGTGTTGAGCCTGGAGGTGCGGAGCCTGGGGGTGTTGAGCCTGGAGGTGCGGAGCCTGGAGGTGCGGAGTCTGGGGGTGCTGAGTCTGGGGGTACTGAGACTGAGCGTGCTACACCTGGAGGAGCCCTCTCCTCCCAGCAGCTGCAGGAGAGGTACCTCGAGTACTGCCGCCTCCGGAGAGGTGCTGCTGGAGCTCGTCCCGGTACTTCCCCTCCTACCCAGGAGCTCCCCCCCATTCAGCAGATCCGAGAGTGGTACACGCGACGCTGCAGTCTTCGGAGTGGTGCTCCGGGTGCTGCGGACCCTGGGGGTAGCACTGCTGCTGGTACTGAGGACCCGGGCGTTGGAGCTGCTGCTGGTGCTGGGGACCCGGGCGTTGGAGCTGCTACTGGTGCTGAGGACCCGAGCGGTGGTGCTGCTGCTGGTGCTGAGGACTCGAGTGGTGGCTGCTGCTGCTGGTGCTGAGGACCCGGACGGTGGAGCTGCTACTGGTGCTGAGGACCCGGGCGTTGGAGCTGCTGCTGGAGCTGCGGACCCGGGCGGTGGAGCTGCTGCTGGTGCTGAGGTCCCGGCCGGTGGAGCTGCTGCTGGTGCTGAGGACCCGGACGTTGGAGCTGCTGCTGGTACTGAGGACCCTGCCACTGGTGTCTCTGCTGGTTCTGGAGACGCTGAGCGGCCGCGACCGTACTTCGTACCGCTCTTCAGCAAGTTCTTGGCAGACTCCTCCTCCTTGTCCTCCTCCCTCCTTAGAGTGTCCTCCGCCTGTCCAGCCGCAGTCACAGTTCCCGCCTGCCTCGCCTCTCCCTGCTCCCTCTCCTTACGCTGGTCCCACAGGAGGTCTTACAGAGCGTCGTGAGCCTGAGTCTCGTCCTGCGTCGCCTGTTCGTACTGCTCGCACTGGTCGTCGTGTCCCACGTGAGCGTCCTCCTCCTGTCCCTGGCACTCACTACATGACTCTGCGTCCCTCCACTGCTCCTCAGCGTGTCCCGCTACCGTCTCCTCCTGCTTCTCTGGCCTACTCTTCCTGACCCGGAGTCTGACTCCCGTCGTGCTGCCAGTCCCACTGTCACCCGTCTCCTCGCTACTGTTGTCACTGACCCTACCTTTGAGTCCTCTGCTGCGTCTGCTCTAGTCGCTGAGTTGATAGACTTTGCTGCCCACTGTCGTCTAGACTACGCCACTAGCCTTGTTGCTGAGTCTGAGTCTGTCTGTCCTCCGTCCGTCGGGTGTGAGTGTGCTCTTGGCACGGACGTCCTTGAGGACAGACAGGAGGAGTTCCAGTGCTTTGGTGCTGCTTTGCCCCACCTCGTATCCATGCTAGTTGCCCCTGAGGGAGACCCGGATGCACCAGACATCCCGACCCCGCGCACTTACGCTGAGGCGATGGCGGGTCCCTACTCCTCTCAGTGGCAGACAGCCATGGACGCAGAGATGGCTTCCTGGAAGTCCACACGCACCTACGTCGACGAGGTTCCCCCACCTGGGGCGAACATTGTCAGTGGCATGTGGATTTTCAGGGTGAAGCGGCCACCGGGTTCTCCTCCTGTCTTCAAGGCGCGCTACGTGGCTCGAGGCTTCAGTCAGCGAGAGGGAGTTGACTTCTTTCAGACCTTCTCCCCCACCCCGAAGATGACCACTCTTCGGGTGCTGCTGCACATAGCCGCTCAGCGCGACTACGAGCTTCACTCACTTGACTTCAGCACTGCTTTCTTGCAGGGCAGCCTGCACGAGGAGATCTGGCTGCGCCGCCCTCCTGGCTTCACTGGGTCGGTTCCTCCTGGTACCCAGTGGAGGCTTCAGCGGCCGGTCTACGGTCTCCGCCAGGCACCGCGTGAGTGGCACGACACACTGAGGACGACACTTGCGGCTCTTGGGTTCGCTCCCTCTACTGCTGACCCGTCACTGTTTCTACGCACAGACACCTCACTGCCGCCGTTCTACATTCTCGTGTACGTCGACGACTTGGTCTTTGCCACTGCTGACACCGCGGCACTCGCCCACGTGAAGTCGGAGCTGCAGAGGAGACACACGTGCACAGACCTGGGTGAACTGACAAGCTATCTTGGCTTGCGGATCACCCGGGACAGAGCACGGCGCACCATCACCTTGACTCAGTCACACATGGTGCAGCAGATCCTCCAGCGCTTCCGCTTCACGTACTCCTCGCCTCAGTCCACTCCTCTGCCTACCGGTCACTCGCTCTCAGCTCTGCCTTCGGATGAGTCCGTAGAGCCGAGTGGCCCGTATCCAGAGCTTGTGGGCTGCCTCATGTACCTGATGACCTGCACTCGACCTGACCTTGCATACCCTCTTAGCATCCTTGCACGCTATGTCGCTCCTAGCCGTCACAGGAAGAGCACATGGATGCCGCTAAGAGGGTGTTGCGCTACTTGTGCAGTACGTCGGGCATGGGGCTAGTGCTTGGAGGGCGAGACCGAGTTGTACTTACTGGACACTCAGACGCGTCTTGGGCGGACGACCAGGCTACTCAGCGGTCGTCTCAGGGTTACACCTTCAGCCTTGGCTCTGGCTCAGTTTCTTGGCGTTCTACACGCTCTTCTTCTGTTCTCAGCTCCAGTTGTGAGGCTGAGATCTACGCCACAGCCATGGCTGCCCAGGAGCTACGCTGGCTGACCTACCTGCTGACCGACTTGGGTGAGCGGCCTCGTTCTCCTCCAGTGCTTTACGTCGACAACCAGGCTGCCATTGCCTTGTGTGAGGAGCACAGACTGGAGCACAGAACGAAGCACATCGCCCTGCGGTACTTCCTTGCTCGAGAGCTGCAGCAGTGCGGTCAGCTTTGTCTGCGTTACGTGGCCATTGAGGCCAACCTTGCTGATGTGTTCACCAAGCATCCTGGTTGTTCAGTGCTACATTTCGTACAGCCCTGTACATTTCGCGCGTGTTATGTTAGCGGGGCTCGAAATGCTCCCACATTCGGTGTGTGATGCTGGGGTGCAGCCACATAGAGAAGTGGCGCAAAAACAAATAACTTATAAACAATGTTCTCTAGGTTGTCTAAAGTGAAGTGTGTTAGTCAGTGATGTGCCAGGCTGTTTCACAAGAGGTCTCTAGCTCAATTCCCGCTGCCTCCGACATCTCGATTTTCGGTATAGTATACTTTTAGGCCCCGAAACCTAGGAGATTTTTGGTACAGTACATCTCGCTTCAGGGCGAGATTCGACACTATCCTGAGTCGTCAGGGCCGAACCTACAAGGTTATCCTGAAGTTTTAGTACGCAATATAACCCTTATACTGAATTTACATGACAAGATATTCCCTTATGCTGTTTTTTCAGGAGAAGCACACGACACCTATCCTGAATTCAGGAGAATCAGGATAAATTATCCTGATAACATAGGCCTTGATGGTAAGTGATTGACTGCTACGGTATGTATTTGCCTCGGCAATTCGCCACATTCGTTCTCATTTCCTAGTTTGCCTCGACTGAACCTACCCGTATATTGTATGGATCAAACATGAACATGTGTTGCCGAAATGATGTGCTGTGAACGCATGACTGTCTATTCCGTACCATGTTATGCATAGATGAAGTATAATGATGGATATGGTGAACCAAATATTGAATGAACAATGCATAAATATAATGCATATGCTACTGTGGTAAATATACCATAGTATATTTTCCAGCTTTAAGTCGTAGTTAAATGAATGCTTAGCATGATGGAAATGCGTAACAGTTAATTGACACAGGCTCTATGCTACCGCATCCCCTGCCTAGCATGGGGGGGAGCTCAATAGCATAGTTTCTGAATCATCCAACCGTTACATGAAACAACACAATCTGTGTAAATTAAAAAAATGATCAAGATCCATCAAATCCAGTTCAAGTGGACACACTCACTGAGTGCGCAAAGAACCTTCTCGGAAATGATGGTTTGACCATCTTTTTAAAACCCACAGATCCGCATTGTTAATGCGATGACAGATGCATACGGATGAGTGTGCACACACAAGAACGCACTGACACATACCGATATGCACACAATCAGACAGAATCCGTTCACACACAAAAGGGCAATGAAAAAAAAACAGTAAAAACAATAAAACAAATGCAAACAAGATTTATCAATACAATACAGCTCTACAAGTCACGACTATTATCGTTACACTTCATAAGAAATCCTGGCAGCGCGCAGGAAATAGCAAAGCCTCTGAACATTAAAAAAGGGGGGGGTGGGGGGGGGGGGGGGAAGGAGGGGAGGGAGGGTGGTGGGGGGGGAAAGAGAAGGGGGGAGGGGAAGTTTAGATTCTCGTCCAAAAAACAGCAAATAAGAGGAAGGCTTTAGGACAAGCGAGCTAAATACAGAAAACGACTTGTAAAAAGGCGATTAACCTATTGCGATGGGTTATAAAAAAAATCCTATTAACGGTTATAAAAATCAAGAGAAAAAATGAAACACGACTCAAATAACACGATCTGAAATAAAGGGAAAACGATCTAAGTAACACCAGGAAATGAGGAGGCAGAAGCAGACAGACTTACAAAAGAACAATGACCGTTAAAAAGAATGGAAATGAAACGAAAGGAAACGAGAAAAAATGTGAGAGAAAAAGAACGAGATAACGAGAACGAGAGAATGAGACAGAATGGAAAAGAGAGAACGAGAGAAGAGAACAGAACGAGGAAAAAGAGAGAGAGAGAGAGAACGAGAGAGAGAGAGAGAGAGAGAGAGAGAGAGAACGAGAGAGAGAGAGAGAGAGAGAGAGAGAGAGAGAGAGAGAGCGAGGAGATGAGAGAGAGATGAGGAGAGAGAGAGAGAGAGAGAGAGAGAGAGAGATAGAGAGAAGAGAGAGACGAGATAGAGAGAGAGAAAGAGAGAGAGAGAGAGAGAGAGAGAGAGAGAGAACGAGAGAGAGAGAGAGAGAGAGAGAGAGAGAGAGAGAGAAGAGAGAGAGAGAGAGAGAGAGAGAGAGGAGAGAGAGAGAGAGAGAGAGAGAGAGAACGAGAGAGAGAGAGAAAGAGAGAGAGAGAGAGAGAGAGAACGAGAGAGAGAGAGAGAGAGAGAGAGAGGAGAGAGAGAGAGAGAGAGAGAGAGAGAGAGAGAGAGAGAGAGAGAGAGAGAGAGAGATAGAGAGAGAGAGAGAGATTTCAAAAGATTGGGAATTAGGTTCTCAGCACGAGCAATAAAACTAGAAGGAACGCGTTCAGGCTAACAAAGAAAAGATAACCATGGAAGAAAACAAATATGTAACAAGAGAAACGAATGGTGGAAACAAACGAGGTGCAAGAGAAGTTCATGGCTAACAAAAAAACTAACGTTAAGATCAAGATGGAAAGAGGAACGGGTAAGAAAAACAGATGAAAGGCGAAAGGAAAGGAAATGAAATAAATAAACGCACCTAGCTACGAACTCACCGAGATATGCCTAAACCGTGCATAGTTGAATGCGAACGAACGTTGAACGACATTTAAAACTGAAAGACACAAATCTAGTGAAAGACCTAAAGCTAAAGTATCTACAACAATTCTAGAACCTAAGCCTTAAACAACATGCGGCCAATACTATGCTAAACGACTACGATATGAGACCAAGAAATGGTAGTCTAGCGTGTAATGATCTAATTTGGCTCAAAATGATAAGTTAGGGTGGTTCTTACCTTGCACTAGTAGGTGGAGCGTGTTTGGCGGGGAGCTTAACTAGGGAGAAGGAGCAGCGGGAGAAAAAAAGGACGAACAAACCCTAAGGGAGTCTAGGATTCATCGCAAGAAAAAATGACTTATATTTTTCGTGGCACAAAACGCGTTTCGGTGCTGTCTCAGTCGACTTAGGAGTGAAGTTGGAATCGTAAGATCTCCAGTTCGATTCCAGCTGATGTGAAATTTTGAATCCTTGCCGAATTTTGTCCCTCTTAGTGTCATACTACAGCAAATGTACAGAATTAGAAGCTGTACAAATTTATGTGATTACGCAAAAAGCTTCGCAACCCTAAGACGATCTAGTCGACTCTTGTTTTTTTTACATCTTTTAGGATAATAAAAATAGACGAAAAAAAAATCAATTCCAATCGATTGCAATAGGTTGCTCCGCAACCCAAAAAAAGGAGGGGGGGAATGTTGACGGGAATGGAGTGTTGGCCCCGCCTCGCTTGGGCAACACCGACAACTTGGTCGGATGTATGAGAGTTGCAGCCAACTGTTCACAGTGGGAGAGCTGCTCGACAGGCTTCGTCGAGCTGCAGGGGACCGCTGTGGTGTTGCTGTCGACTAGGGAGCTCGACAGCTGCAACTGACTGGTCTGGGCGACGGGTCAACCAGGAGGGGCAATTCGACCGGGAGGTCGACGGAACAGTCCGTCGACCTGCAGTACGACCGGGAGGTCGACGGATTCCGTCGACCTGACAAGTGAGCAGCGGTCGACGAGGGGATCTTGGTGACAACCGCTTACGGTTATGGTCGACGGGAGGAGTCCGTCGACCAGGGGGTAGCTCGACGGGAGCTGTGGTCGACCAGGGGCACCTGGTGGTCGACCAGAGGGAGCTGTGGTCGACCAGAGGCACCTGGTGGTCGACTAAAGGCACGGGTGGTCGACTGGAGCATCTGGTGGTGTCCAGGTCGACCAGGTAACCTGCTCGGCGAGTTCTGCGGAGGCACGCGAACGTCGTCGAGGTCGCGATGGCGAAGGCAACTTCGGGTTGGTATCCCGAAGTCGATGTGGCTCGTCAGGCGCAGACAACAGCCGACGGATGCCCAACGAGGCAAGTCGGGCCAATCGTCTGCGCGCACCTGCGAGCGTGCGCACTGCTGTGTTCTACGGGGCAGCGCTGGATTGTCGATCTGCTTCAGCGTTGGCACGCCGTCGACCTGCTTTGTTGGCAGGTCGCCTTCCTGCAGTGTTGGCGTGGCTCTTCTACGCAACGCGCGGTCGACCATGATGTGCTGTCGGTCAACCAGGCTAGCTGCAGGGTTGCTAGGTGCCTGATGTAGTCAGTTCTGTCATTGCTTGTTCAATCATTCTGTAACTCTCAAGTTTGCTAGTGGAAACTCTTGCCGATTTCTCCCGTGAATGCGCAAGTGCTAAGGAACCAAGCAAAGCTACAATCACCCCTAGTATTTTGAGCCAACGCCCGTAGTCTAGCTCACTACCGTTGTAGAGTGAATCTCCGCATGGTGCGGTGAGCGTGGATCGAACACGCGACCTTCAGATAGGAGCCGACTTTTGCACCTACTAAGTCGTTCGTAGGCCGGCAGCAGCGTTATTCGCCATGGTCGACCCTGTTGTAGAAGCGGGCACAGCGAACACCTTGGAGACACGCTTGGCTGATGCGAGGAGACGCCACGCGGATGGCGAGTACGGGACGATCCCCTTGACGATCGTCGAGTTGGGCATCCGGGCGCAGTGGGCGACGGATCACCCTTCCCGTCCTGCATCTCCTCGACCAGTGTGAATCGAAGGTGGCGTCGACGACGAGGTCGACGGCGGTGCTCGAGTCAGCGGCAGTGAAGGCACGAGGCAGAGAGGGGTGATCAAGGTCGACGGTGGCGTCGACAGGAGTCAGGCGCGAGTGCAGCGGTCGACGGCGGCTGCAAACATCTCGCGTGTCGACGTCGATGGTCGACGTCGCTCTCCTCTACGAAGCGGTGGAGGGCTCTCGGCGACGACGCACGTGACGGCGGGCGGGATTGCACCGGCGTATGGCTACTTCAAGTTCTCGCCGGACCGGATCACCGTCGCCCCGCTGCAAGGTCGACGGGACCTCATCACCTGGAGGGAGTCGATAGAGCCTCAGCTGGAGGTCGCCGGCCTGAAGGGCTTAGCCGACGGCACCGTGCCTGTTCCGCCTGAGGAAGATGTCGAGCTGCGCGGGGAGTTTCGTGCTGCTCACCTGCTCACCTTCATGGTCATCTCGAGGTGCTGCTCGCCGGTGGTGCAGCTAGCGCTCAGGAGCTGTCGAGAGCGACTCGATGCTGGTCACCAGGCATGGCACTTCATCCTGTCGACGTACCAGGTGAAGGACGACCTGTACATCGGACAGCTGGAGGAGAAGATGACTCACATTCGGATGGGCGAGCAGGAGTCGGCGACGGACTACTGCAACCGTGCTCGACGGATCCTGGCTCAGATGCGGATGGCGGGCGCCGGATACTCTACATCGTCCTACATCACCCACGTCGTCAAGGGCCTGCCGCGCAGCTACAACCTCATGAAGAGGATGCTGATGGTGCTCGTGGCACACGTGAGTCCCTCGACGAGGACTCCATCACCAGCTACATCCTTCAAGACGAGGCTATGCAGGAGGCAGAGCAGCCCACGGAGCTCCTTCCGCAGGCGAGCTACGCTGCACCAACGAAGAAGAATCGTCAGCAGGAGCAGCGCAGGAAGTCCGGCGGAGGTGGTAGCGGAGACGGGCGGTCGAAGAAGGAGGTCGACGAGAAGAAGTCGACGCGGGACAAGGGTCGTGGAGGTGGTGGTCGACGGCGGGAGTGCTGGACCTACGGCGACCCCGACCATCTTTCCTTCCAGTGCCCCCACCGCGATGATAGCAACGAGGACGACAACAAGGGAGGCCGCGGTCGATCGGCCAATCGTCGCCCTCGTCGAGATGAGAAGCCGCGAAAGGAGAAGCAGTTGTCGAAGAAGACGTCGTCGACGAAGGACGTCGACAACTCCAGCGGCAAGGGCCGAGGCGACGGGGAGGCGTCATGCTCGATGGTCGGCGTGGTGGAGCCGACAGTCTCGCTGGCGCCGGAGGCTAGCGAGGACTTCCAGGCGGTGGCGGCAGCTGTGCAGGCCAACCCGATGGCGGTGCTGCTCGACAGCGGGTGCTCCCACCACCTGATGGGGACGAAGGCGGTCTTCGTCGACATGGGGCGAGCGACGGCGTGAAGCACGTGCGTGGATTCAACGGCGCACTGCAGCCTGTTGAGGGTCGCGGAACTGTCGCTCTGCAAGAGGAGGCTGGGAAGCGGGTCCTCATCCCCGACGTGCTCTACGTTCCGGGCGTACAGGCGAACCTACTGTCCGCTGGCCAGCTGAAGGAAAGAGGAGTGAAGCTGCAGGTCGATGGCGACGATATGCTACTCGTCACAGCAACCGGGGAGGTGCTCGGTCGAGCACGCTACACCGGCAGAATTCTCTGCACCGACCTTCGCCCCTGCTCGACGCAGTCGCCGTCGACCGAGGTGGTGGCTCTACGGGCGATGACGAAGGTGACTCCCGACCGGCTGCACGCGAGGCTCACACACGTCGGCATCGACACGATCAAGAGCTCGAAACATGAAGGTGCTACTGGGCTCGACATCACGCTGTCGACCGGAGAAGACCCGCCGTGTGTCTCGTGCACCGGAGGAAAGCTGGCGCGGCACACCTTCCCCGACAAGGGCTCGGACGCCGAGGAGGCACTGGCTGTCGTGCACATTGTCTTGTGCAGGCCGTTTCGAGTGGCTGCCAAGGATGGCAGCTTGTACTTCTTGCTGCTGAAGGATCGCCACACTCGATTCGTGTGGGCAATGCCGGTCGCTAAGAAGAGCGACGTGCTGCGGGAGTTTCAGAAGTGGCTGGTGCTGGTGGAACGGCAGACGAAGAAGTCGGTACTGTCGCTCCGCTCTGACCGGGGAGGGGAGTTCCTCGGACGGGATTTCACCAACTTCGTCGATGGGAAGGGCATCGTCAACGACCTGATGTGCCCCTACACTTCGCAGCAGAATGGCATGGCAGAGCGGGAGATGCGCACGGTCGTCGAGTCCGTGCGGACGATGTTGCTGCACATGGGCGTGCAGCACCACTGGTGGCACCTCGCTCTTTGACAGGCTGTCTGGGTGCGCAACTGCTTGGAGCGGTCGACGACGCCGCCGGGGACGACTCCGTACCAGCTGCTGACCGGGAAGAAGCCCGACCTCACGCTGGCGTGGGTGTGGGGCTGCATGGTGCAGTTCATGGTTCCCGAGCAGCAGGGCGGTGGAAAGCTGGCGCCGAAGGCTCATTGGGGGCTTCATCTGGGTGTGTTGCCGGAGAGTACGGAATGGGAGGTGCTCGACACGACAACAAGGTGGTCACGTCGGTCGAGGTGATCTTCTACGAGACGCTGTCGCTGGAGGTGTGGAAGGTGCAATATGGGCCGCAGGCACACCCGCCGACCGACACCTCGACGGCGACGGTCCCGCTACTCGCCTAAGTCGACGAGCCTGCAAATGAGGATGTTGTGGAGGTTCCTCCACCTCCCCCTGTTCTTGCTCCTCCCTCCCCCGTCGCAGATCGGCCTGCGTCGACACCTGTGTCGGCCACCGGCGATGAGGGGAGC